CAGGATTTGAAGAGTTTCCTCTCGATATACAGCAATTCTTGGAGAATGAATAGCAAATCCAAAATCACTCTAAATTGATGATTGTCAGGTAGGGAGATTTTGCTCCCAGGGGACATTCAGCAATATTTAGAGACTTTTTAATTGTCGTGATTAGGGGTTCTTATTGGCATTTCATCAGTAGGGGCCAGGGATGCTTCCGAACTTGTACAATAGACAGCCCAAGATATCAATAATGTCAAGATTGAGAAGCCCTGTATCTTCTGAGACCACGAAAGTTTCACCTGTGACAACTTACAGTACCTGTCTGCTTTATATCCACACCTTAAGTTACCAATTTGACAGATGTGTATCAAATGCCTATAGCTCTCGACCAGGCAGAAGGAAAAAAAAAAGGCAACAACTTTCCCTTGTTTTGCACTTTGTGCACCAAAATAAGCTCCTCGGAAGAGAAATTGCAATACAGAAAATATCGTGTCAAACAAACAAACAAACGAACAAAATACCCAGCAGGTAGCTTAGCACCAAACACATAACTACATACACGGTTCTTGTCATTTCTGATGAAATGAGTGAGAATGTGGATGAATAGGGCCTCCTGGAATAAATCTGAAGTTCTTTTTAAAAAAAAAATAAGATGAGGGAAGGTAAGGAAAGTGATAGACATACAAGGGAGAGAAACTGGCTGGAGGCAGTTTGGTTTAGTGTGCTCTCTGGAACACTGTAGAGTTTCTCCCATAGAAAGAGATTACATATGGTTGTTCAGTTCCAGGTCAGCCCAGAAAAGCTTAGTTAACCATAATCCAGCTGGCACTATAAAACTGCAGGAGTCGTGGGGTACATGGTCCCTGAGCTTTGTAACTTGGAAGAACGAAGGACAAAGAGATGATCTGTCCCTTCCCTGTCTCCTCTCCTCCCTCTGCAGACCCCCAACCCCCTGCTCTGCCCCACCTCTCTTAGAGGTAAGAGTAATTCTAGAAAACTAACTAGCATATTTTAAAAAATTAAAAGTAAGTATATAAAAATGCAAAGTGTAGCCCCGGAAATAAAATAATACCTCAGACCCAGATCCTCCATGCTCCTTTTGTAGAGACAAAGCCACTGTTTATTACATTTCTTCCAGAAATACTCTCTGCACATACTCAAACATATACACGCATATATGCATGTATCATCTTTCAAATTATATGCAGAAATGGAAATATACAATGCAATCTGTTCTGCACTTTCTTTTTACTCATAAATCTACTTTATTTCTTTAATGGCTGTGGAATATTCCATGGTATGGATGTACCATTTGTATCAACATTAGGATGGCTCCTAGGAATATTCTGAAACATCAAAAGTTCATCTTTCCCCTCTTATGACCTAGTATCCCTCCCTCCATCCTCCCTGTAGAACTTCCCTGAACCCTTCACCTTCCCTCTCTTGACTGGTTCTACTCTATCCTTTTCCCCAAAGGGTCCACCCTCCAAAAGCATGGACTTCCTCACACCAATAAATACATTCACCTTCTTTCAGAGTGGCTGGCCTGACTTACCTTATTCTGAAAGAAAGCAATCTGACTTCACACTAATTATTATATGAATTGCTGCCAACTCAATAACCCACACATTTAGAAAGGAGATGTTTGTTAACTAAGTTGAACTCATTATTGGAATTCCAGAGAGAACAACAATTTAAAAACAAAAGGCAGAAAAGAAGCTATCAAGAGCACACTATTTGGGGTTGGGGTCAGCCATATTGGCTATTGTCTCATGCCAGAAAATCTAGACAGAGAGCTTTCTCTAATTAATGACATTTGGGCAGTTTTTTTGTTTCCTCTAGCTAAAAGTCAAATTATTCTTCGAAAGCTCTGAGATTTTTCACAATACTCTTATTCAGTAGGGGTCCTGGAAAGAGTAGGCCAGCTGTCTATAGGTGTGGGCTATTCGTAAACAGGTGTCCGTAACATATGGACCCACCGTTCCGAGCTTGCCACCAGTAAATTGAGAAAGAGTAGAAAAGAATGTTTTGTTAACTATATTCTCCATTATGCCTCTTATGAAATCTTATAGGCCATATAAAAATACCAATATCTCTTCATCAGATGCACAAAAAAAAATGGCCTGAGTCACTACTGGCATCTTTTGCTACGTTACACACAGGAAGAACTGGTTCCCTTTCACCAGGGACAGGATTGCTGCAGATTCATTTCTGAAATGATATCCTGTTTGGAGACAGACCCAAAGTAAACGCTGAAGTAACCTGGTACCACAGAGCTCTGAGCATGATTTATACTCGTGGGATTCTTTTGCAATCCTTTATAAAACTTGACTAATTTTTCTAAGAGGGCTTAAACAAACTTGTGATTTGATTATGTGAAATTCTGATTTTTTATGATCTTATTTTTCCTTTTTTCATGCATTTTGGCTCATAAACCATGTGCCAGATGCCTATACCTACATGAAAATTATCCACAGTTTGTCCCAAGGTTATCAAGTATGAGATATTGTATTCCAAGGATTTCTATCACTTTCTATTCCTCAGGGGCATATTACTATAGGACTTATGCTCCAAGAAAGAAATCTGTCCCTCATTAGTTGCAGTAGCCAGGGAGGGATTTTAGCTGGATTCATGTGAGCTGAGCGGGTACAGGGGGAGAGTGTGTGATCTTGCATTCAGCAATGGCCAGCAGCATTACTGCCAATGGCACATCCAGCTGAAGAGTGATGCTAAATAAGCGTATTCAGGAGAAAATAATGCAAACACAGAGTAAACACAGATCAGTTTCAATTTCTGAATAAAAGAGAAACACAACCTATGAATATTCCCATCAACTAAGCACAAGCTTTCAGCTAAGACCTAAAAACGCATAGATGAAAGAGACAAAAGGCCCCTCTCCTAAGAGATCACAGATGAGAGGGGAGGAAAAAGCATTGAACAATCATAACTGAATGGAGAAGGTCTGAACTAGGCAGTGGTGGTGGTGGAAAGAAAGGATGAGAGGGACTGGAGATAGCTGGAGAGGAGTTTCAATGCAACTGCATGTGGAGTGGCAGAAGCTCAGGGGCAGAGGATGACTGAAGTGTCTACTCTGGCCACTGTGTGTCTAGTGATAACATTAAATAAGATGGTGAATGAAGAAGAATAAAAGGAAAGGACCATGAGTTCAAGTTTGGGATGTGCTGACCCCTAGATGCCCACAGAACATCATGGTCGACTACGAACTTCAACCCTGTAAAATTTATATTAACTTTAAATTATTCCTATTAAAATAAACAGATCTTTTCTTCACAAAGACTCATCATGAAATCTTAACAATTTTAAGACAGAAAAAGAATGTCATCAAATATGGAAGAAGCTTGGTTCTTGTAGATCTACTCCACAGAGCAAATGGTGGTCATCACTGATAGTAAATAAGACACATCAAAGAGTTCACTGTTAGTCTATGAGCTCAAGGACAAGGAGAGCCCTAACTATAAACTGTGTATCCTCAATTTGATCAAAACAAAGTCAGTAACAGTACATTAAAACCATACTATGAGACTCACAATTTCAACTGAGTTAAAAACCAAAACCTATCTTTTAAGTGTTCATGTAAATATCCTTTGCCAGTGTAAACATGGAATAACTCAAGTGCAAGACTTCACAGAATGACTTATGTGTGGTATACAATCCAGAGCACAGCCTGTGGCAGCCAGACAGCCAGGGTTCAAATCCCAGTTTTGCAGCCCTGAGACCTTAGGCAAGAAGAATAAACTCTCTGAGACTGTACTTCCTAAACTGTTTCTGCTTCTCCTAGTGAGATATGACTTACTCCTAGATAGGCATGACCAACTATACACATAAAATATGAAGCTTTCATCCTGTAAGATAGCGTCACCCAACAGAGATACAATGTGAGCCACACACTATATTTAACTTTGCTGGTAGGTACTTTTAAAAAGTTTCTTTTTAGTCTAGTGAAATGAACTTAATGATATATTTTTAACTCAGCAGATCCAAATTGTCATTTCAACATGTTATTAATAAAAATTATTAATGGAATAGTTTACATATTTTTAAGCTAAGTCTTCAAAATCACTGTACAATTTACACTTACAGCACATCTCAATCCAGATGCTAAACATCCTCTGAAACACTTGGTAGAGTTGAAAAAGTAGATTCACACGTCTAAGTTGTCCCAAACATAGTAAAATGTTTCCAGTAACTCAATTGAGTATCAGTGTTTACATTTAAATTAAGTAAAATTAAGTGTTCAATTTCTCAGTTACACCAGTCACCTTTCAAGTAGGCAGTAGTCACATGTGGCCAGTGTCTACCATGCTGAACTGCTGAGTGCTAAGGTAAAAAAATTACTCTGGGTCAGGCTATGCCATCACTTGCAGACACCACAAGATCAGACATAGATAACTGAATTGAGACTGGAGATGTGCGGAAACAAATCTTAAGCACTGAGGAAAAGGATTGGAGAGAGAAGGAGAAGAAAGAGCAGGCAGAGCCCACAGAGAATACAGAAAGTAGAAGCAATCCATCGTGGGCATCTCACCTTCCCCTGCCCGTAACTGTAGACACATTTTTCTGCTTTCCCTTCTGATCCAATGGAAGGAAATATTACTGGATCCTAATGAAGGCCAACACTATACTTGTGCTTTGAATTCTATCCCCTTCTTCCCACCCTTCTCTAGAACTTTGCTCCTGCTATAATCCCTCTCTTGTATCACCAGTTTCTCCTACTCTACCAGATCAATTCCATCAATGTTAATTCAAACATGCTTTCAATTCCATCAATGTTAATTCAAACATGCTTTCGTAGCTCCCATATTTAAAAACAAAGATGAAAAACACAACAAAAATCTTTTGATCTTAGATTACCTACATCCTTGGTGCCATTTCTCTTTGCCCTTCACAACAAAACTTCTTAAACTATTATCTCTATTCACTATTTCCAAGTCATCCCCTCCTCTCTTAGCTTCTGTTTCCACATTCACCTTTATTCTCTCTCATCTCAGTAGACCCACCTTTGCTTGTTCCTCCTCTTCCACCAGGCCTCTAAAGGTTGGAGATCTTTGAGAAACCTCCATATCTACCATTTTGATCCAGCAATGGCACTACTGGGTATCTACCCAAAGGAAAAGAAATCAGCATGTCAAAAAGATATCTGCACTAGTATGCTTATCACAACACTATTCGCAATAGCAAAAATACAGAATCAACCTAAGTGTCCATCAACAGATGATTGGATAAAGAAAATGTGAGAGAGAGATATATATTTTCCTATCACTGATTAAAGGAACTTCAATAGACTTATTATTCACAACTATTAGGTATATTTACATAAAACCATTTTATTTGTCAATATTAATGACTGTACTATTTCTCCACCTGTTTTTCCTAGTCAAGAAAATTTTACCAAAAGGACAAAAGTTGAAAATTGTAACCTCAGCAATCCCTAACTTTGAGGACTTACCCCCGGTATAAATGTTCATGTATATGCATATTTTCATCACAGATTCAGACAGATGCCCTTGCATCTATGTATACATATACACACACACCATTGAATACTACTCAGCCATAAAAAGAATAAAATCATATCTCTTCAGCAATGTGGATGGAACTGGAGGCGATTATTGTTAAGTGAAGTAACTCAGGAAGTCAAATACCACGTGTTCTCACTTGTAAGTGGGAGCTAAATAATGTGTACACATGGACATACAGAGTGGAATAATAGACACTGGAGACTTGGAAAGGGGAGAGGGTGGGAGCGGATGACAGATGAGAAATTACCAAATGAGCACAGCGTATACTATTGGGGTGACAGTCACACTAAAAGCCCAGACTTCACCCCTGTGCAACATATGTATTTAACAAAACTCCACCTGTACCTTCTAAATCTATAAAAAATATAAATAAATAAATAAAATTAAGGTTAGAGAGCTTCAGGATTGTTACTGGGCCACTTCTCCTTTCTATCTACACTTTCTTGCTGGGTGATCTCATCTCATTCCAGGGTTGTAAACGCCATCTAGGTACTGATGACTCTCACATTTATGCCTCTTCTCTGCCTTCTCTCCTGAGTTTCACACTAACAGAGAGAACAGCTTAATGGCCATCTCCATATAGATGTACACATCCAACCAAAGTGGGTCTACCTTTCATTTTTCCCTTCCCTAGTCTTCCTCATCGAAGCTAACTGGCCATTCCACTCACTCATTTACTAGAAACAAAATTCTAGGAGACGTTCTTGTTTTCCCTACTCCCTCATTACAAACATTTCATTTTTCAACATGTTTTATTGGATGTATCTACAAAGCAAAACTTAAATTCATCGTCTTTTCTCCATTTCTATGGCCACCAGCTCAGTCCAAACCACATCTCACGTGTCTCCTGTACTCATTTTCTGTGTACATTCTTGCACCATAAAACCCATTTTTCCCAGACATCAGCCAAAGTAGTCTTTTTGAAAATGCAAATTAAATTGTACCTCTACTTCAAAACTTTCACGACAGTGACAGTAAAATCCCAGCTCTACCATGGTCCTGCCTAGTCTCTCCTACTAAATCCTACACCATTTCCCCTTTTGCTCAGTCCAGCCTTCTCTCCATACTTACGACACACCATGCTCCATGCGCCTTTTTACTGCAGAACTTTCCCACTTGCTACCCCTTCTGCCTGGAGCCTAAATAGATGGCTTCTGCTTAGACATGAACCACATAAATGCCAACAGGAGAGACAAAATCTTCCTTACAAATGATTCTAAGCCTCTCTTAATACACAGGAGCATGGAGATCCACGACCCAAATCCCACACCATAAGGTTTGCCTAGAATGAGGCTAACCGGAAAACATTCAAAGCAGGCAATACCGTATGTCCATTTGCAATCTGGAACATCTAACCAATTGACGTCTGTTGCATGGACAGTCACAGCCTTACCCTAAACATACAAAACATAGAAACAAACGCCTGTACCTTTATCCCAGTCAATCATGGAAAATCAATACTGTTTGGGCTTTCAGAAAAGACATTACAACTCCGAGCAAGTCAGTCCTTTCAGATTCACACCTCAGTCATTCATAATTTTCTCAACATTTCCTTTCCCATAAAAAAAATAATAAACTCTCTGGCATTTCAGCTCAAAATAAACTAACCAAAATTTCACTGGGAAGATGTTATCAAAGTATGACAAAGACACACGATAATTCTCAATCCTTCTAAACAGCTGGTAGATATTAAATTCTTCTGCAATGAGTTTTTTTTAAAAAAAAAATTTAACACATCTTTAAACTGCAAAACTGATGTTTCAGAATCAACTCTGTTTATTCTTGGCCTGCCATGAACTGTTAACATAGAAGACTGGAACTTTACCAGTATATAAATAAGTTTATAAATTAAGAGACACACTTTGCCATTTGAAACTAATAAATAGACAAATCAGAATTGAAAAATATAAGAGATCAAAGAGAAATGTTCCTCTAAACTAACAAAGATATGGGATGAGAGTCAGTAGATCATCAAGGAATGAGGACTGCCAGCCCTTTTGTCCCATGACTGTGGCCTGGAAAAAGTCCAGGCCTCCTGGGAGAGGTTCCTCAGCCTGCCTAGAGCAGTTAATCCCAGACACTAGAGTTTCCAACCTGGGAAAGAGTCTCCAGCCCACGCAGGGCACAGAAGTTACAGCCACCTGACATGACATGGATGAGGGTCTCAACAGTGACCACCAAGAACTTGAAATCAAAACCCTTCCTCCCCTCCCCAGCACCATATTCTATCATCCTTTACGTTCTTATGTGCAACTGGAAGGAGGTAAAGAAAGTCCCAACTAACCAAGCCTATTTATTTCTATAGGTCAAATTCAAGCCAAAGTAAGTAAAGAAATAATAAAGAAATCAAACATTTCTTACACAAATTATTTTATTACTAACAGCATATTATTTCACGTATTCCTTCCCTGGTCTTCCTCACCTAAGCTAACTGGCCACACTGCTCATCCATTTACGAGAAACAATATTCTAAGAGACGTTCTTGTTTCCTCTACTCCCTCATTACAAACATTGCATTCTTTAGCATGTTTTATTGGATCTATCTCCAAAGCAAAACTTAAATTCATCTTCTTTTCTCCCTTCCAATGGCCACCAGCTTAGTCTAAACCACCATATCGTACCTGTCTCCCGTACTCATATATAAGAATAAGTGCCCTTCATATACACCATGGAATACTATGCACCCTTAAAAAAGAATATGTTCATGTCCTTTGCAGGGACATGGATGAAGCTGGAAGCCATCATTCTCAGCAAACTAACACAGGAACAGAAAACCAAACACCGCATATTCTCACTCACAAGTGGGAGTTAAACAATGAGAACACATGGACACAAGGAGGGGAGCATCACACACTGGGGCCTGATGGGGGGTGGGGGGAAAAGGGGAGGGAGAGCATTAGGACAAACACCTAAGGCATGCAGGGCTTAAACCCTAGATGATGGGTTGATAGGCGCAGCAAACCACCATGGCACATGTATACCTATGTAACAAACCTGCACATTCTGCACATGTATCCCAGAACTTAAAGTAAAAATTTTTTTAAAAAATTTTAAAAAAGAATAAGTGTTCTTGCTGAAAACTGTTACACATTCTAAAATAGCATTTTCTAAAAATCATATCACTGATTAAAGGAATTTCAATAGACTTGCTATTAAGTATATTTATATAAAACCATTTTATTTGTCAATGTTAATGGTTGTGCTATTTCTTCATATGCCTTTCCTAGTCAAGAAAATTTTGCCAAAAGGACAAAAGTTGAAAACTGTAACCTCAGCAATCCCTAACTTTGGGGACTTATCCCCTGGTACAAATGTTCATGCATATGCATATTTTCATCACAGATTCAGACAGATGCCCTTGCATTGATTTGAATACTTGCATAAATATTAATGTGTACAAATGCTTGCATGCAGAAAACCCATTTATGAAATATCCAACTGCATAAATTAGGTACATTAGATACTAAATGCATTAACACTTCAAAAAATACATGCACAAGTTTGCATGGCCAAAAAAAAAAGGTACAATCCATTAGAAGAACCTAGATTCTCTCGATGTGTTTGCCATTCTGTGGGCATGAACTGGGGATCCCCAGAAATGATTTGAAGCCTTTAGAGTATTTATGGTTCACCATTTGCACCAGTCCCTCCTGACCCAAAAACTAATTAAGCCCTTTTTTATAGTAAATTTATAAATTGTCACCTGTGACCCTGAAAGAAAGTGTCCATTTTTTAAGCTATCAGATGGCCTCAAGAACTAGTTTTTTCACAGCAAAGATGACTCCAAAGTAATTTTCACAAAATAGCCTCAAAACTTACCTGTACACTACTAGACTATATGACTGACTCACTCTCAGGAGTGGCAGGTAAATGTAAATCTTAAAAAGTTACAGAAGAAGGCTGGGCATGGTGGCTCATATCTATAATCCCAGCACTTTGGGAGGACAAGGTGGGTGGATCACCTGAGGCAAGGAGTTCAAGACCAGCCTGGCCAACATGGCTAAACCCCATTTCTACTAAAAATACAAAAATTAGCCGGATGTGGTGGCACGTGCCTATAATCCCAGCTACTCGGGAGGCTGAGGCAGAAGAATCACTTGAACCTGGGAGGCAGAGGTTGCAGTGAGCCAAGATCACGCCATTGCACTGCATCCAGAGTGGGTGACAGAGGAAGACTCCATCTCAAAAAAAAAAAAAAAGAAAGTTACATAAGAAAATACAATAAAGCCTCACGGTTTGGTGAATTCAGATACAACACAAATGACATTGGCAGGTGTGCTCCACTCGGTTCTGGTTCTCAAGTGGGGACAGTTCTTATTTTGGGGAGATGAGTGTTTAAGAAGCCATTTCCTTGTCACCAACTATTCAGAATTTCTCAGTTCAGCATATGGCCAGCTGGGTACACTATCAGTTTCGCTATCTTTACTTTTGTATTTTTTGTAAAAGTACAGGTTGATTTTAAAATATGTTTTCATTAACGTTAAAAAAAAAAAAAAAAAAACAAGGCCCCATTTTACACTTAAATTTTTTGTGCCTGATTTATGAAATGATCGCAAGCTCTCGCTCCCTGCTTCAGACT